TGTCAATCGAAACATAGTTTGGCTCTTTGTCACGTTAGAATTTATGCATTTTTTACAGTGTATGGCTGCACAATTTGGGGGGAAATGTAATTGCGATTATTCAGGTTATTTTTTTGTGTTGTCTCCCCAATAATGATAGTCTAGTTTTTCGTTAGGTTGTTGTGGTGGCAGAAATTGGAGGGAGTACTCTGGATGAAGCCACAAGAAGAATGATGGCCTTCCCCTTGGACCACCCCTTATCAGGAGAGTTCAATTTTGTTGGCCGGCATGGAAAGCTAAAGTTTCAGGGGCTCAAAATGCTTGAGGTTGTATAAGGTATGTTACTTGCTGTTGGATTATTTGTAACATTCATGTGCAAACAGAGGTTATTCGGTAGAGTTGAGTTTGTTCTTCATAAATCAGTGGAATCAAATCAGTTTGATTGTATGCAAATAATTGTTCATACTTGGATAAACAATACCCTAAATTATGAGAATATGGACCAGGTGTACTGCTTATTTTAGTGATAAATAACTGTTCATTTGTGGTGTAGCAATCACAAAACTCAGTTTATAATAAATACTAAAATTCAAACTTTATAAGTACACTAATACAAGTGAAGTAATACTAAAATACTAAAATAAGAACAAATGAAGACACCAGATTGAAAAGCCGTCTGAAATTGTCTTCTAAAATCATTTTTATGTTTATGTTCGGTTATTTCACTGTAAAGGACCTATACATTGCCTGATAAAAATGAAATTTTTTTTAAGAAAATTTCAGATTGACAGATTTTGACATTTGTGATTAAATGAGACACATACAATTTTTGTGTAAACTATGCCTTTAAATGTTGCCACAGAAACCTTTTTTTATGATAGAATATTATATCTGATACCATTATTGTATTTCCTGAAAAATGTAAAAATGGAGATGACTGCTTATTTATTGCAAGGGCTTAAATATGGAATTTAATCTCACTTTAATGCTCTTTATGTGTTTTACGGGAAGCTTGAAAAAAATTCTGAATTTTTTTTTTTACATTTTTGCAATAAATAAATGATTGTAATTGCATTTATCTGTCTGTCATGTTTTTCTTATACTGTACAGAAATAGTTATGTTTAAGTTTAGAGGTAGGAGTGGGATTAGCGACTATAAAAATATTTGATTTTATTTGATTGATTTTATTTATTTGAATATTGTTACTAAAATGGTTATTTTCCTGCATATTTCGGTCAATTGCATTTTATATCCTTTTATATTCGTTATAACATGGGTAAGTTAAGGTTTGGGGCTAGGTTAAGGGGTCTAAAATCTAAATCGCTTATTGATAAAATTATAAAAATGCAAATTCGCTATAAAATGGGTAGGTTTAGGTTTGGGGGTAGGTTAAGGGGTCTAAAAATCTAAATCGCTTATTGATAAAATTATAAAAATGCATTGATACAAATATCTTAATGATATAAATAAGTAAATATTTTACGTTTTTTAGCTAAAAATACGTAGCGATTTGTACGTTTTAAACATTGAAATACGTCTAAATTTTACGTTTTAGCATCAGTAAAAATGTACAAAAATTTACTTTTTGTGCTTGTAAATGTTACGTATTAATACCTATGTATAAACATGAGACCAGGCTGCTATGTGAAGATTTTTGAATGAAGCCAAACATACTTTCACACAGAAATCTCAGAAGATGCATACTACCTAAGGCCCCAATACACTCATGGTGAATTTATTTTCCTTATTCACTTTAGGAGTAAAAATAAGTTTGAAATATTTGACCAGCGATATATCATGTTGCCTGCGATGCTGAGAGTGGCGTTTACATAAATATGTAAATATGTGCTGTGCACTTTCCTCTCACCAATAAAATTAACATACAACAAAAATAAAAGTGCTGAGAAAACAGCAGTTAAAAAAGCATCTTATCATAGCGATCTGGATAAGTTTGGACGGGCTGCAATTCAGCACTCCAGTCATGTCACATTTGTTTCATATATTCAAAGCAGCTTTACACTATTGAACATGAAAAACAGTGTCAGTGTCGCTTTCAGTTAGAATAACATCTTCAATTTCTATAAAGAAGCTCCCCAGAGTATTCATGTTTTTACTTAAAGAGGTCATATGATGCGATTTAAAGTTTTCCTTTCTCTTTGGAGTGTTACAAGCTCTTGGTGCATAAAGAAGATCTGTAAAGTTGCAAAGACTAAAGTCTCAAATCCCCCCAAAAAAATAAATTTTTTTTAACCTTAAACCGCATAAACACATTTCATTACACCAAATAATGTTCTTTTTAGCAACATCATATGACCCCTTTAACGTCTGATCTCGAGGGACTGAACAGAATAAATTAACTGGAGAAGATTTCCATGTCAAAGAAGGTGGAGCCCCAGAGCCACACCTACCTATTGTACTCCAAAAAAATAATAGTAAAAAAATCACATTGTTTTGGTCTAATTTGCTTTAAAATAACATCACATACATATTTTGTGTACATAGTATCTCACCAGGTCAGGATCATTGTGCTGCACATTTTTTCCTGTTTGACAACAAAAACAACACATTTTTACTTTGGTCAATTAGAATAAATATACATTCTTTAACATATTTTTAAAGATATATTTTATTTATTTATTTAAAAAAGTTTTGCACAGTAAATCTCATTATTCCAGCTTGTCGAATCAGCTGTATGCAATACTTGCCATCTTGTCCTGCTTGTGTAGATCGCCTGTGGTAACAGTAGATCACACCAGCAGCTGCAACCAGCAGAACAGCAGCAACAACAGCAGCAACAGCAGCTGAAGCTGGAACAGCTAAAGACAGACACTCATTATTACTAGAGATGAACTGATAAACAACTATACAAAAACTTTTGACTTATATTTAGTAGAAATTTGTATGACATTGATTTATTTGATAAAGGTGCCGTATGGTTTGTAATAAACAGCAGCTAAAAAAGCAACAAGAAACGGCAGTGTTCACAGGAAAACTGGCTAATACTGTGATTTTTTTCTAACAACAATAAACTTCAAAAGTTTAAAATTCATAAGGTGATGTAGGGATTTCTAAATATGAACGGACACTGATATCAGCCATCATGAGGTTTGCTAATCACCCAGCACATGAGTCCAATATTCTGGGTCGATTTCCTGTCAGCCTTGTCTTATCTACTCAGAGGAGTGATGACGAACTAATCCATTCAGGAGATAACACAGAGATCTTTTGTATCAGGACTGAAAAGCCAGTTCACAACATATAGAAACCCAGATGTCTTGTGACCACCAATGGATAGAACTAGTATATCAAGCAGGAAAAGGATGAGTAAATTAACTGGTGCCCTCAGGCCTGCAAGCACGGGATATACAGCGTGACGCCACATGACTTTTTGACCATCTGCTAGTGTCCGAACGATATTTACTTTGGGAGAATTATGAAATTGTGGTTAAATCCACGCGTTTTTGTCTGTATGAATATGTGCTGATATCATTGACAGTTATTGTATTAATTGCAGTGAATCGGTAGATTAATTCACCTCACTCAGAACGAGTTGAGATTGGTCAGCACTATAAAGATAAATCTGTGGCTAAACCCCGCAGCCACCATCTGATTGGACCACGACCTGTGGACTGGACAAAAGTCAGCCTGCTTAAAAATGGACACAAAGTCTTACACTCTGGCTCGCTCTCACACTCAAAAGGAACTTTGGCTTTCACCTTGGTGAGCGCGACAAAGCGCCCCCACGCCGTAACATCGCACAGCGAGACCATCTAAGAACTCAAAAACTTAATGTGACAACTGTCTGTCAGATATGCATCTGAAGATAATAGATTTGATTTCAGTTATATTGTAATATTGAGTCAAAGCTCACTTCTTCAAACAGGCCACAACGAAAACATTTACTGAGTCGATATAAATACATCAGTTTTCTAAAACTGTTCAAGTGAAAAAGCACTGAATGACTAATGATACTCACCAGACACAGTAACTCTGAATGTTTTAATGATGCCGCATCTGCTGCTGTTGATCAGTAGTTGATAAAGTCCAGAGTCTGTAGTTCTGGTGTTTATGATGGTAAGAAATCCAGTCTGATCCAGCTTCAGTCTGTCTCTGAATCTCTCATCACACTGATCATCTGTACAGATCTTACTCTGATCTCCAGTGATTTCAGCGATGAGAATGTCATTAAAAAACCACGCCATCACATCATTTGTTTTTTTTTCTTCAGGAGTGTCTAAAGTGACAGATTCTCCCTCCGTCACTGCCTTTCTCTTCATTCCAGCAGCAGGAACATCTGAAACACCAATCGAAACTCTTCAATAGGAACAAACTATGAAAAATTATTTAGCAGATTCATTTCTTGGATCTTAAGAAATTCAGAAGAAACAACATTAAATGTGCAAAATAAAAAATGAATTGTGCTTAAAAGAATTCTGTCGATCTATCTTTATTCATACAGACTTAGAAAAGTCTCTGCAGAATTAAAAATGTATTATTGACCCATACATGCATTACACATAGACATGCATAATGTATTTGTATTACTACACAAGAAACAAATTACAATGTATTACTACAGAAAAATATAAATTAGTGTTTTATAATTTCACCAAGCACTTTTTGAATAATCTTGTGATCATAATATGAGACAATATGACATTAACACTATTTTAGGTTTCTTTATCGTCAATCTGTAAAGCAACATTTATCGAGATTCTGTGCTTATAAACACAGTTTATAAGTAACCTTGGTATGGATGAAAATGTTTTATTTTGAACAGTGTTTGTGGTACGACACTTTATAAGACAGTATTAAAACTTGCAGGAATACGCCTCACTGGAAACATGGGATTCATGCATGAGAAGGAACAGTATTGGGCGTGGCTAAGCCCTGCAACAGCATCTGTGATCATCTGTACAGATCTTACTCTGATCTCCAGTGATTTCAGCCATGAGAATGTTATTAAAATACCACATCTTTAAATCATTTGGGTTTTTTACTCCATCTGAATCTAAAGTAACAGATTCTCCCTCCTTCACTGACTTTCTCTTCATTTTATCTCGTTCAGCAGCAGGAACATCTGAAACACAAACCAACAGCTGCTGGATTTTTTTTGGGGGAAACATCACACAATACTAAAGAACTGTAGATATATGAAAGTAATAAAACATGACCTCTTGACATTCTGTCTAAAAAGCAACATTTATTCACATTTTCTCCTATTAAACACATTTTAAACCAAATCATTTGCACTTTGGATTCCTGGTGGGTGAAAAAAAAAAAAGAATAGTCTGTGAAATAAGATATGGATTTAAATAGATGATTATTAGAAAGTAACTGATAAAACTAATAACCAATAACATTTTTTTTTTTTTAAATCATACTGAACCAAATTGATATTTAAGTCTACAAATTCTGCTTTAACAGTAAATCTGTTTTTGATTAAATCATCTATATACTGTATGTAAATTATTATACAAGTAAGAAGTAAAATCAGCTCTAAATTTCACAGCAAAATTACAACTAATAACATATGAATGATGTGATTTACATGTACGAGAGTACCTTTCAATCATGACTCACCATGTACAATAACACTAAAGCTATTTTCTCTGTCGTTGTTGCTGCTGCTCATCAGTAGTTTATAAAGTCCAGAGTCTGTGGTGCTGATGTTCATGATGGTCAGAGATCCAGTCTGATGATCCAGCTTCAGTCTGTCTCTGAATCTCTCAGTGCCTTCATTACACTGAACATCTGTGCAGGTCTTACTGGGATCTCCAGTGATTTGAGCGATGCGAGTGTCATTGAAATACCATCTGATTCTCTCTTGTTGGTTTGTTTTAACACCAGTGTGTAGAGTGACTGATTCTCCCTCCATCAAAAACACTCTGTCTGTATCAAGACCAGATGCACCTGAAGAAGAAATTAATCTTTTTTTTTTTAATTAATTCGCTATTTCTTTCCAATTAATGCAGATTCTATTAAATAAAACTACTCTGTTCCTCTGCATTAATGGTGACACAATTTGATATGTCAAAAACTTTGCCTTGAAGAAAGTACTATAATAATACACAAATGAACTAGTTCAAAAGTTTACATACCCTTGATGCTTAATACTGCCACTATTTAAATGATCAAAATCTGTTGTTATGTTTGTGATAATTGTTCATGAGGCCCTTGTTTGTCCTGAGCAGTTAAACACAGTTTTCCAGCATCTCCTGCATATTTGAACCCTTTCCAGTGACTGTATGATTTTGAAAATAAATAAAAGAAGACATAAGAGCCTTTGGATGATCGGGGAAAATACTTATTTTGTCTTCTGGAAAACATGTAAATATATTATGTAGCTACTGTACTAAAGGTCAGTACTAAATAAAATAAAAAATATGATCTTTAAACAAATTATGATGTTTAAAAGTTTACACCCCTGGCTCTTAATGCATTGTGATTCATTTTTAAATTTTACAGCTGCGCTGCAATTTCCCACTATCCACCATACTTTTACCATTTCTATACCGTTTTCCACTAATTATAACACAAAACACTAAATTAATTTCTTTAAAAAAATAATACATTAAATATACAATATATAATCAACATCTCTAGTATCCATAGTAAGTAATGTATGATAAGCATGTCAAACAATATTTTCACTAGATGGAGAGAAAAAAAATAAATAAAGGAGAAATAGATTATGGTACATCATTTGCTATTTATTAAAACACAGACCAAAAAAACTGACATATTGTCTGAAACTGACACAAACTGAAAAAGTAAAAATAATGCTTGCATTAACCAGCACAAACCCTGCTTTGAATTGGTTCAAAAATTAAAAAAAATCTCATTATTCATTTACCCTGATGCTATTCCCTTTCTTTAGCAGACCACAACCATTTTAGAAAGAAATTTGAGATCTGTAGATTCATACCATGCAACAATAATTTAGAGTCCAAATGTTATGGATGCACCTCCTGATCAATGAATGTCTTATGTAGCAAAATGATAGGTTTGTCTATGAAATAAATACATAAATACAGCTTGAACTAAAAAATTATCTTTCTGTCAGCACTCAATTTATCTCTTAGTTGTGCAATGCATGTTAGCGTGTTCATGTGAGAAGTAGAATGCGATGCTTTGATTGCAATAGAGAATGAAATTCATGTGAAAGTTCAGACATTTCAAACAGAATCCTTTCAAGTTGAGATGTCATCGTTACAAAAGACAATAGACTGTGGTCAGCTCCAATGACACAGATGGTAAAACGTGTGTCGTACTCATTTTGACGCAGTCGACCCGGGTTCTAATCCGCCTTTTGGTGAAAATAAAGTATCGGGTAGGGTTAGGGTAGGTGTAGGGAGTAGTGGTCGACCGATATATCGCCAAGACCGATATGTCACCCGATATTTGGCATTTTTCAAATATCGGCAATGGCCGATGTTTTTTCTGTTTGGCCGATGCGTTCGACTTTTATTTTGAAGGCGCGACAAACTTTTTATTTTGACGCCGCTGAGAACGGCAGCGCCTGCGCACACAGTGTTTACATTCTCCCTCTTGTTTGCTGTTATCATTAACAGCTCTGTCTAATACGAACAGAAGTCTGTCTAATAATCAGGTAGAACGGTTAAACAAAGGAATTAAAATATTATTAGTAATAGAAAGGCAAACATACTTTCTCGTTTGCTGTCAGCATTCAGCAAATACGCATTTACATAATTAAAAAAAAACTTTGAATGTCTAATGAACATTTAATTTCACAAACCTTGCAAACTTAGTCAAATCCAGCTGTGAGATCTTGTGAAGAGTGCATTTGTATCCTGCATGATCGCGTGTTCTCTGCGTGACGGTCGGTCCGTGTGAATTGAATGCGGACAGGAGGAGAGTTCAGCTTCACTGGAGATGCGCGATCGACACATTTTAAACTTATGCTGCACTTTATACATTTGCCCACTGTCATGATATGTAATTTCCACTGTGTGCTGTATGTAAAATGAGTGTTACGTTGGCTTTATTTGAAAAAATATGATTCCCAATGCACACAAACTTTCCAGAATACTGAGTGCCCTGTTGGTTACAGTGTTTACTTATGAGAAATACTTTGTCATCTAAAGTATAAGTATGTTTATTTTACACATTTATTTTTTAATCCATTTTCAAATGATTTCAAATTTCTTAAATATTAATTAAAATAAATACAATTATATCGGCTTTATATCGGCCATCCTGCTTTCCAAGATATCGGCATCAGCTGTCAAAAAAAACAAATCTCGGTCGACCACTAGTAGGGAGGGCTTTATTGTCCCAATAAGGTGGCATCCATTTAATCATTTGAATTAAAATTTAAATTTACACTCAATAAGTTATTATTGCATACTGTTTTATAATGTACTACAATACTGAGGTGCAGATAATTCCACTATTTGCAATAAGTCGTATAAATAGCAAAAATCCTGCTATTGTAGTTAAAAAAAAAAAAAAAAGATTCTCATTATTTACCTACCTTGATGCCATCCAAGGTGCATAAGGTGCTCTTCATCAGAAAATAAATGCATATTTTTAATCGGCAGCTGCTATTTGCACTAAGTGTAATAAGTGTAAATCGCTATTTACACTTAGTGCAAATAGCAGCTGCCGATTAAAAATATGCATTTATGTTCTGACGAAGAAAGTAATATGCACCTTGGATGGCATCAAGGTAGGTAAATAATGAGAATCTTTTTTTTTTTTTTTTAACTACATATCGGCATCGGCCGATGTTTTTTCTGTTTGGCCGATGCGTTCGACTTTTATTTTGAAGGCGCGACAAACTTTTTATTTTGACGCCGCTGAGAACGGCAGCGCCTGCGCACACAGTGTTTACATTCTCCCTCTTGTTTGCTGTTATCATTAACAGCTCTGTCTAATACGAACAGAAGTCTGTCTAATAATCAGGTAGAACGGTTAAACAAAGGAATTAAAATATTATTAGTAATAGAAAGGCAAACATACTTTCTCGTTTGCTGTCAGCATTCAGCAAATATGCATTTACATAATTAAAAAAAAACTTTGAATGTCTAATGAACATTTAATTTCACAAACCTTGCAAACTTAGTCAAATCCAGCTGTGAGATCTTGTGAAGAGTGCATTTGTATCCTGCATGATCGCGTGTTCTCTGCGTGACGGTCGGTCCGTGTGAATTGAATGCGGACAGGAGGAGAGTTCAGCTTCACTGGAGATGCGCGATCGACACATTTTAAACTTATGCTGCACTTTATACATTTGCCCACTGTCATGATATGTAATTTCCACTGTGTGCTGTATGTAAAATGAGTGTTACGTTGGCTTTATTTGAAAAAATATGATTCCCAATGCACACAAACTTTCCAGAATACTGAGTGCCCTGTTGGTTACAGTGTTTACTTATGAGAAATACTTTGTCATCTAAAGTATAAGTATGTTTATTTTACACATTTATTTTTTAATCCATTTTCAAATGATTTCAAATTTCTTAAATATTAATTAAAATAAATACAATTATATCGGCTTTATATCGGCCATCCTGCTTTCCAAGATATCGGCATCAGCTGTCAAAAAAAACAAATCTCGGTCGACCACTAGTAGGGAGGGCTTTATTGTCCCAATAAGGTGGCATCCATTTAATCATTTGAATTAAAATTTAAATTTACACTCAATAAGTTATTATTGCATACTGTTTTATAATGTACTACAATACTGAGGTGCAGATATTGCCACTATTTGCAATAAGTCGTATAAATAGCAAAAATCCTGCTATTTTTACATAGTGTAAATATAATCTATAGCTATTTGCACTTAGTGTAAATAGCATAGCGCTAAAAAATGCTGCTATTTGCACTTAGTGCATAAGGTGCATATTACTTTCTTCATCAGAAAATAAATGCATATTTTTAATCGGCAGCTGCTATTTGCACTAAGTGTAAATAGCCTCTATCGCTATTTACACTTAGTGCAAATAGCAGCTGCCGATTAAAAATATGCATTTATTTTCTGATGAAGAAAGTAATATGCACCTTATGCACTAAGTGCAAATAGCAGCATTTTTTAGCGCTATGCTATTTACACTAAGTGCAAATAGCTATAGATTATATTTACATACTATATATATATATAAAATAAAAAAAACAGCCAACACATCACATCAGCTCTGGATAAATCTGGAAAGAAGTGAGACTAGTCAACACATTAAGAAGACAATAAGAATGATGAAAAGTACCCAGGTCTGAGAGAAAAACACTAAGAAAATTATTAATGCAATTAGAAACTAGAAATTTGTGTTACAGCTGAGATGCAAGACTAACTCTAAAATGATGTTTTGGAATTAACATCAGAGGCTTGGGATGAGATGTGTAAGAAATAATTACACACAAGAGCATTTTAAGGACAAAAACCTGACAAATGTCATGAAATAAAACATCTGAACAATGTCTTGAGGTGTGGTGCCTGTGGAGGAATAATTGAATTTGCCGTTATAATCAGAGATCACTGACTAGTGACATGCCTCACCCACCGAGAGCTGTCTGTCTGCAAAATGATTCACATCAAGTAGTACAGACAAAAATATCTCCATAAATGCCTCCTTGCCATGGTCATGCACAAATAAATAAATTACTGCAAAACACAAATGATATGCATTACTGTCAAATATAAGAATTGGGCTGGTTTGGCTTTGCAGACCTGGCAACCCTGCTCATTGCTGGTAGCACCTTCTGTCCAGTTATTTCCCCGCCTATTAACTCACCTATGTTTTGTAAATAAAATAAATAAATTATGGTATGGTAGTCACACGTAAAACCATGTTCCTTATTGCCAGGGGTATAATAATAATTATAATAATAATAATAATAAACTATGGAATGTCATAAGGAAATATCATAAACACATAAACTAAAGTGACAAA